TGCATCCATCTTTTTTGGGACTACCCAAACAGGGGCACTCCAAGGTGAAATAGAGGGTCGAATTATATTTTGACTTAGCATCTTACGAATTTGAGAGTCGACCTCATCTTTGTGGCATTCAGGGAAGCGATATGATTTTACATGAATAGGAGGTGCATCTCCTGTATTAATTGAATGTCGAATTGCATTAGTATGAGATAGAGGCTCGCCTTCCATATGAAAGATATCTGTATATTGAGAGCAACATTCCAAAAGAGATTTTTTCTCCTCATTATTGAGATGAGAGCAGCGAATAAGATTTAAAACTTTTTGTACTCTATCTGATTTATAATAAGAAATAGAATTAACATTTTCGTATAAGTTAGAATTCAAGTCGACAGGTTCAAGAGGTGTCGCTTCTACGAAATAATCTTTGACTTCTAAGTCCGAATCAGTCGTATTTAAAATAGTAATATTTATTCTTTTATTTGGCTTGATAGAGACTATGCAATTCGCGATGTAAACACCTTCACTTAAGGTTTGATCTAATACGAGTGCTTCATTGTTCTGATAACACTCGGGCTCGTAATTAGATATCGCGCATTCGATTACGGCTTCGGAGCGCGCGGGAACAATGTATGTAGGCTGAACAAAGTTTAAACTTAGAATATCTCCGCCTAAATATAATATTTTAGAATTATAATTAATAACAACATTATGATAGCTTAGAAAATCACTGCCTATGATGCCGTCATAATCTAAGTTGACGTCATCGTTAACGAGATGTAATTGATAAGACAATATATTATCAGATAATATAAAATCCATTTCGAATGTGCCTAGAGTTACAGAACAAGATTCTGTGTTATTAATCCCTTTTATTTTGATTATTTTATGAGATAAATCAGGCGTCTTATTTATACTCGATTGCTTTATTAAACTTATGCTTGCACCTGTATCTATGAGAAACGATAAGGGTTCCGTAGAGTAACTCGAATTTAAAATTATATGAGGCAACGATATTTTCTTAATATTTATAGTAGTTTCATAAATAGATAATGAGTTATTATCATCACAAGAATCAGTGTTATTTACGTTATTGGTTAACTTTTTACGATTATAAGATATAGTAGGACTCAGCTTGTTAGAATTAGTAAAAGATTTAGGAGATTGAGGCTGAGATGTGACATCACTCGAGCTCATGTCTCGGGATGTAGATAAACTCTGAGGCTGTCCCTGCAGAGATGTATAAGATTTAGGATTACAAGATTTAGTAGATTTAGAAGATATAGAATTATTTTTCGTGTCATTCAATAGAAATTTTGATTTCGGCAGACACGGCACCGAAATCTTATTTAGTTTAAATTATTGTCGCGGGAATCGAACCCGGACTCTTGCGTAATATGCAACCTCGCGTCACTACTGGTAGTTGCACGCGGCGAATGATAGTCACGTTGCGCTGGGTTAGCGTTTTCGCGACGCTGCATGTTATACTGCCGCTTACGGCATTGTTCTAGAGTGTGACCTATATTCTTACAATAATTACATTTTACATTATTAGAATTATAAGGAACGTGATAAGATCTGTGGAACTGAGATGTATTTTTGGGAGACTTTTTATGCTTATGATAACATTCAGATGAACTGTGCCCTGGTTTATTGCATATGGAGCACTGTTTATAAGATTTGGTGAAACTAGATTTCGATAAATTAAATAATTTCTCCTCTTCAATAGCATGTTGTACCGCCTCATTTAACGTTGAGGGATTTCTACATCTGACTATATTCGATATTGAACTACATAACCCTAACATGAAAGTATTAAGAGCAAGGTCCTCCATGGCGGCAATCCTGCCAGGAAGCTCATTCCGATCCTTGCAACTATAATGTATATCAGATAAAATTCTAGTTAAAATAGTTTCTATCCTTAATGAATATTTAGTAACATCTTCATTATGTAATTGCTTACAATTTTGCAGATCGACAAGTAAATGTGTAGAGTGCTTTTTCTCGCCAAATGTACTCCTTAGAAATAATTTAATTTCGTTCCACGTAACAAAAGTTTTAAGGCTACACGCAACTTGGGCTTTGCCTTCTAGTTGCGAAATTATGAATTTACAAAGAACATTTTGCTGTTCTGGGGTAGCTAAAGACATAGCATTATCGCAGTTTGTAAGGAAAGCGGGAAGTGATTCCCTATCACCATTATAAGGTTTTATAAATTTAGTAAGGACTGAGAGGGTGATTTTTTCTGCCTTCTCGGTCGACCCAGATTCAGAGCTCTTAGTCATCTTAGCAAGTTCTGATTTTAAATCTGCCTCCATTCAAATTAGATATTATAAATGTTATAGAATTAAGTTACGATATGAATCTAATATAAGTTTATGTGTAAAATATTGTATAGGAAATAGAAATAGCACAAAAATAGTAAATAAAACTTTAGACACTCACAGAAACACTACGCTCACTTGCATTTTTCACAAAACACGTGGCTGGAGACTGGGGAAGGTCGCGCTACTTAGCGCGGGAGCTGGCGCGGCGAACAACGGCGCGGCGCGGTGGCGATCACGTGGCGACGCGTGGTTGGTAACCACGTTGTTGGAGTTACGGAGTGATGATGGATGTGGATGGTGTGGTGAGTTAGACCGGCTGGGCAGGTGCGGGCTCACGCTGCAGAGCGGAGACTGATCGTCGACCTTGCTGGAGAGGTACTCGGAGTTGGTGTGGTGGTGCGGGCTCACGCTACAGAGCGGAGGCTGACCGTCGACCCTGTGTTCTGCTGTTAGTGGCTGATGCAGGCTCAGAAACGCGTTGAGGCTTACTGTCGATCAGTCCACTGTGACGATGACGCGATAGTAGCCTAGGGTTTGGATTCCAGGACTTCAACGGAAGCCACTTACGGAATCCCACTTCTGACACCAATTTGTTAGGCGGCCGGCGCTGTTCGTCTTTTTAAAAAAAACCCAAAATTCCCGGATATGAATTTAATGATTTTTGATATACACAATTACACACGCGAACTCGAGTACCAAGTCCTGAGCTACGCGGATGGACCGTTCTTTCCCGTTGCCAAAGTCTAACTGACTGTGGGAATTGATGGAATAATGTAAGGGCTGCGTTAATGCAACTCTGCAGTTTAATTCTATGGAAAATTACAGTTATACACGTTTTTGTTGAATTAGCATTCTATGGTTACTAAGTCGGGTTATAACAGTTCGTATGGTCATTGTTGAACGGTTTCCATCAAAGTAGCTTCGGAGATATTTCTGGTTTATGTCTGACTGCACTTTCAGTATTTAAGTCAGTGCGAAAAAAATAATTTCGTTCATGTGCTTAGAGCTGTCCTCGTCTTATAATTTATACTTAGGTACACCATCATCAGTCTATTATTACTCATATAGTGATGCCATAAACTTTTACTTTGCTGGGTTAGCAGAACTTCTTGTTTATACTGTCAACAAAATCACGTTATTGACAGCTGTGACAGGTTCAAACATTTAGATGTTATGGAAAAAAATAATTGTAGCCGTGACCAAAAAGTTTGTTCAAGTTTTTTGAAAAAAGGTTCAGATTATTACAGATCGTGTAATCCTAAGACTTGGGTAATATCGCTGGTTGTAAATTTAGACACCACAAGCTATAACACAAAAATGAATTGATTTTTTCACTCATCACTCAGCAGGACTAAATCAAAAGTTTTTACCAATCATAGCGTTACTTTAGATAGTCTAACTGAAATTGAAAACCTCGTTCGAGATTTCTACAAATTAGAGTCTATTGGTCCTAGATTCAAAAGCGGGTAATATAGATTTTAAAAAATACTACCAGCCGTTTGCCCAATGGGCAGTTTGTAACTGATTTGCATTCATCCATTGGCTCTGTCAAGTTTTTATAGTTTGGACAGGCGCTTCGCTGGGGACAAATTTTACCGCGACCACTATAGAGATAACATATTTTGGGGTTGTTAATCTGAATAAACCGGGTAAGTTACGCGTAGTCCACGACGCTGCTGCTTGTGCACAGGGAACTTAGCCTTAACTCATTATTATTAAGTGGCCCTGACTTACTGGTTTCCCTTCAAAATATAATTTTTGTTTCAGAGAAGACCAAGTAGGTATGGTTGTTGATATAAAAGAGATGTTCCCACGACGCCACAGCGTTTTTTGTGGCGTGACTCCCCCGAATTACCTATTTTAGTGTTTTTTAGAATGTCTTCAATGATTTTCCGACAACAGCTATCAAAATCTTATATAAAAATCAAATCACTAAAAAGAGCATATACTTAACGAAAACAGTTTTATCCTTTTGTGAAGAATTTGTTCGCTTCTTCCAGGTTCTTGTGGATGATCACCTGGCTTACACCTTACCCAATACACTAATAAAATAAAATAGTACTTTGTGATAAAACGGTTCCGCTAGATTTGTATGGACGGACTTCATGGAGAAGAGCCGTGAGGTTGGCTGATATTGTTTGGCAACGCTGGGTAAAAGCTTATCTGCCAACACTTGTTCCGCGAAGTGTCTCTGTGGACAATAGGTCGTTTCGTTGTTTGTAACCTCGTTTTTATTGTCGACACCTCTCTGCCACGGGGTATGTGGCCATGCGGTCGTGTTACGCGTTTGTTTCCCGGTGTTGATAACACCGTGCGGGTAGCGGAGGTCTCCACAGCGGCAGGGACCCTTCGCTGGCCCTGTAAGAAGCTGGTGCGGCTTCCGGTTTGACGGTCCTTTCCTCCCTTCTTTTCACTGTTCAAAGAGAGGCAGAGATGTTAGGAACTGGCCATCAGCCCGTACTCTTAATATATTGTTTTATACGTGTATGTTTTTATAAATCATTATTATTACCCTCTCTGTTTTGCTCTGCTCCTCTTATGTTCCTATCTGTTATCGTCGCTATATATATTGCAAGTTTTCCCTTAATATATTAATATTTATCTCCTTACTTTGAGCCCTCTTATTTCCCCATCCCGTCCGTTCAGGAACGATCAGCGAGATAATCAGCACTCGGCTGGTGCGCATAGGGGAGCAACGCACAGGTGATTGTCGAAACACCCAAGACGGCGGACACCAGACATAGGGGTTTTCCGGCGACGACACTGCAGCAAGGCGAGGCGGGAGAAACCTGGTGTAAAGTTGTCCGAAAGGACAAAAAGACAAAGAAGAAAGCTCCAGTACAGGGAGCGGAGCAGTCGGCACAAGCCGCTCCCACACTAAGTAAGAAGGCGGCCCAGCCGAAAAGAGGTGACAAGCTGAAGAAGCCGAAGATGAAGCTCCCCGAAACGGCGGCTGTGACCTTAAAGCTGACGCCCGAGGCTGAGGACCTGGGGTACACCTACACAAACGTCGTGGAGATGGCAAGGGCGGCCATCTCCCTGCCCACGTTGGGGAGATAAACAGAGGTCTCGATATAAGAGAAAGCGAGACTAGGACCAGGCTTGTACTGGTCCCGGGCCTGGACAGGGAGGAAAAAGCGGATGCCTTGGCGTCCAAACTGAAGGAAACCATCGCCGAATATGCGGAAATTGAGAGGCCTAATAAGACGGCAGATCTACTGATATCCGGCCTGGACGACTACGGACCATTACGGAGTTGGTGGAGGTGGTAGCCAAAAAGGGGAACTGCGCCACTAGGAAAGTAACGGCTGGGGAGATACGCCTCGTGCCGGGTAGAACCAGGTTCGCAAGGGTCAAATGCCGATTGGAGCCGCAAAAAAAGGTGGTAGCCTTGGGGAGCGTGCGCTGTATGTGCAGAGCACGGCCGTCCGGTGTGATAGGGAGCAGGAGGTGTGACCCTCCCGCTGTCAGGGGAAAACTCTCCGATTCCGGAAAGGTCACTGAGTCCTGAGTGCCGGAGCCGGAGCCCCCGGGCCGGGAGCTGTCTGAGTGATCTCGGTCGCTTGGACATTTCTTTGGTCAACTGCGGCTCTGCTCCCTTCTCTTTGGAGAAGGGGACGAGAGTCGCGGGCGCCGGGGGGTAGGGGAAAGCCGGCTCCCGCGCTGATGGCGAGGAAAAAAGAGGGTCGGGGAGAACTACTCTCCCAATAACAATGCAGTTTGAGTGACACGGTACAGGGATATTGTCTGGTTTTTATTGACCCTGTCCAGGGCATTAGGTAGGGCCCTATTCATTTTAACGAGTCCCAGGGCTGGTTGAAATGAACAGGAAGGAGTCCCTGATACCTTCTTCTCGCTCCTCCAGTGGCTGAAGGATGCGTAAGGCTTTACCTAGATAATAAATAAATAAAAGGTAATATGGGTTAACTATTTATTTATAAATGTTTTTAATATTCACATGGAAAGCTCGCAGCTGGAACTTTTTTAATTACATCGCTCCAATATCAGTATAGGAGTACCTAAATATTATCGTGCGTTTCTTTACGCATGTCTCATTAATTACATTACCTTGAGCGACTTTATTAATTAGGACCATCTCCTTTCTAATGGATACACAATGTTATATTTTATTGACGCAAATAATACGCGGAGGAGGATTTCTTCATTCCTTCAAGGTTGAGTGATAATTATATCAATTTTCTGTAAGGAAAGTGAAATATATATATATAATCCATGATATATACTTACTGTTTTCTAAATTCAAAAAGAGAGATTAAGGCTGCCTGTCCTCCGGAGCAGAGCAAGGTTTCGGAGCAGAGAAACGGAGAAATATTAACCAATAGGATTGCACAAAATTTATTGATTTGAAAATCAACGGCGTTTACAAAAGGATTAAAAGAACAAATAAAAATGGTGTAAACCGACACTAAGGATAATTATAGATTTTCCATAAATGAAGTTATAGTATCTTTTTTTATTGGTGTTATATTTCTGAATTTGAGTTTTTAAACATAAAGTAGTTTTAAAATTTAAATTTTGTAATTTAAATATAGTTTCTTGTGTTTACGGTCAAAACCATTGAACTGCCTTTAAGCTAACTGAAATCCATACTTTAAAACAATAGTAATAATAATTGTATCCCAAGTCAACAAAATCCCTTCCAAAAAAAAAAATAATAATAAATATTTCCAACACTCACACCAATTAGCCTAGCCCCAAAGTAAACACTATAAGACTTGTGTTATGGGATAGGGTAACGAATAGAATACATATACTTTACATATATAAGTATATTTATATAGAAATATATATTAAACATCCATGACTGGAGTACAAATGCTCGTGTTCATCACACAAACATCTGCTTCCACCGGGATTCGAACTCGGGTCGGCGACGCCATGAAACCCGGCGTACAAACCACTCGGCCACTTAGGTCGTCGAATTGGTAGTGATAAACAAATAATTTGGCCAAGAAACGTAACTATATACATATATCATTGAATTTGGCCACAGCGGTGCTATTCTGTAAAATTTCCGAAATGAATCAGCGTGTCCACTTCAGAACCACGAGTGAAAATTTTACAGAATGGTACTGCTGTTCATGTGAAACCTGACCTGACATTGGGTAACAATTGCTTGTTCTGGAATAACGGCCAAATTGTTATATTAGAATTTTTTGTAGATAGATTAAGGTATTTTGGGGGCGGAATGATTTAACTATATAAAGATTTCCGCTAAACAGTGACAGTTTTGACTGAAAATTATTTGAGATTCAAATTCAACGGGCCCGAAACCTCCGGACAATAAAAAAGTAGTTTGACCAGATGTGCAATAATACCATTTTGTTCGCCAGCTACTCAAATATCAGTAACATGTTTGTCTATTTTTAAGTAAAAAGCCATTTTTATTAAGATGAGTTGTGAAAATTGTTAACTAAATAGACAGGTACGAAAATCCGATTATTCTTCTTGGAGAATCATATTGAGCAACATGGTTAGGAAAGAAATTTCCTTAAAATTACGTGTGCGAAACTCACAAAGAATTTGATACAATCGAGAGAAGTAGGGCATATCGGATTGCCCGTTCGAATTCTAATTCGACCTAGCGCCGGTGGGGAAGTAACGTCCACCTTACAGAAGATCACAGTAAAATAACACTACCCTTTGATGGTGTTGTGTTTCTGACGATAGATAAGATTACTATAATATCTTTAATATCATTCCCATGATTAAGACGAATCGATTGACGTATGAATCATTAAAATCGGTCCACGCGTTTGGTCTCTAGTGTGCCACAAATCCACATACATACACATACATTATATAGACTGTTAAACACTACTAGCAAACCAGTGAACCAAATGTTCACCAAAAAAATTAATTAATTGAGAACTTCGGAGATTTTGTGTGGTTTCGTTTGAAATAGAAATCACGTGATTTCTCGAAAACCGGAAGTGCTACGTTACTCAAATCCGGTTTGTAGTCTTATCAGACTATTCTTAACTTATAACTTAAACATTCTCTTTATCTATCTCTTACGGTTTGGCTGCTGAAACAGCACCACGGACGGACGGACTTGTCTATTAGATAAGAGACTAGCAAACCAGTGAACCAAATGTTCACCAAAAACAAAAAAGAAAGTATTTAATTAATTGAGAACTTCGGAGATTTTGTGTGGTTTCGTTTGAAATAGAAATCACGTGATTTCTCGAAAACCTGAAGTGCTACGTTACTCACATCCGGTTTGTAGTCTTATCAGACTATTTTCAACTTATAACTTAAACATTCTCTTTATCTATCTCTTACGGTTTGGCCGCTGAAACAGCACCACGGACGGACGGACGGACGGACTTGTCTAATAGATAAGAGATACCCTGCTATGGGCGGTAGGTAAACTGTTTGAAAAAAGAACTATTAAAAAGTGTGTTTCAAAAAAGAATACACATTTCGTTTCTTTCCAATAAACAAGTGAAAGTCGTAAATAACAAAAAAAGCTACACCATAAATCAGTTTCACATGGCGAAACCTCGCTGTGGTAAGACCCGGGACTAAATTAGTCCATTCGATGCTTAGCGTTTTTCGCTAAATCACTTTTAATGGTCTTAATTGCCAGGAATACTTCCATGTTGCACATTATCCTGTTTGTACTATATTGTCGGTGATAGGTACCTATAATTTAGCTTAGTTTTTAAGTAAGGTAGGCATAGGTATTTCGGAATAATGTTAATTTATTCTGACGACGCTTTCCTGCAAAGGTCAATCTATACATCTATACTACATACATACATACAGTGGTGGTCACATAATTAAAGACACTCCCTAAGTGACCACAAAAAACTTACTTGTGGTACTAAAATTAGTTAAAACTGGTATTTAATCTAGTGTAATTGTTATTCAACTATACACGATGTTGTATTTTTACAATGTGGGACAAAAAATAGTTGTGTTTGTTAGTAGTTTAGACACTGCTCACTATGGGAACACAACACAAACTTTTTTAACGTAGTTGTAGCTGGCTAGCTAATTAAAGACCGTAAAAGCTGTGTTCTGAATTAAAAAAAAATAAAGAGAAAAATGCATTCTGTGTTTCTTTGTTTTGCCGCGTATTTTCATGAAACGTCGATATTACATATAAAACCTATTTTTTTTTAATTCAAATTAATACGTTATAAACCTAGCAATATGGGGAAAACAAGAGTTGCGATTCGTCCACTTGGAACATTATTTTCAACTTTCATAATAAAGATTGGTCATACAGAAAAAAAGCAAACCACTTGAACTGTTCTAAGGACATGGTTATGAATGCTATAAAACATTTCAAGAAGTTCAACAGGACCGAAAACGTACCAAGCATACCGAGACCAAGAAAAATTACTCTGCGGGAAGAGTCTAAGATGGTGTTGTTGGCACAAAAAGATCCCTTCAAGGGATTAGAACTGATACGTTCGCAGTTGTTTGGTGCAGGAGGGTCGAAGGGTGTGTCTGCAAGAACAAGTAGACGGAGACTATGTGAGGCAAACTTGTACGGAAGAGTGTCTCAGAAGGTGCCACTTTTGAAAAAGTAAAATGTTAAGGCAAGATTAGCATTTGCTAAAAAATATGTACAATGGAAAAATGTGCTTTTCTCTGATGAAACAAAAATTAATATGATTAATAAGTGTTTTGTTTGCAGCGCTGTCATAGATTATACACATAAAATGGTAGTCTCAGATTATTTTTTAACTTTCTAATATAGCTTACTTAACTGGAAGTGTCCGTGACAATCTAAATACTGATAATTATCGCAAAAAATATACTAAGAATTATCATAAATGCCAAATTGGTGTTGATTCTTAGGCCAAATTTAACATTGTCCTTTCTGGCTGCTTCAGCAGACATTGCTACATTTTGCCGTATAATGACACAATGCGTATTTTTTAAACTGTTTGCTTATTATTTGTTTATTAAACTACTGTCTAAAATTAGAGCTATCGAATTGACGATCTCACTTTTTAATACTTAGTATTTTCATAAGTTACCTAACCCAGTCGCAAAGATATCTGAATAGGAAAAGTGTATAAACACGTTTCACCTCCGAATTCGCCAGTGTGATTTAAATTTATTTGGAATTCTTATTTTAATTATAAATCACAGCGAGGATTCCGTGGTGAAAAGTGAGTTTGTTCTTACAGAGTAGCACTCCAGGCCGGCTTTATCCCCATGAATCCTACGAACCGATAGATAGACACCCGGATGTGGGAAACTAAATAAAAGTTTGCAAATATATATGCCTCGCAAGGATTATGACGAAATATCCAAACGCTTGGACCTCATCTAGGCATCTTACGGTTCAATAGGATTAAATACTTTTTCTTTACAACAAATTAGTGAGCTTAGAAAGTATCTTTATTAAATTATTGGGAAAGGCTTAACGTTGTCTTTTAAGTAAATACTGAATGGCAAAAGGCACATTAATTTACTTTTCAACAAATTTCCTTTTAGGAAAGTCCCGATGAGAAACTTGCGATTATTTATTCACAAAAATATTGATTAGTTATAATTTTTATTTCTTAAGCATGGAACTGCTCGATGTTTAAATCTAAAGAAAATATTACTAGATACATTTCACGCCTGCTGCCTGGAGACGGGACTCGAACCCGCGACCCTCACTATCTGGGCGAATGCACTGACCATTATAAAAGCACTTATTAAAAAGCATATTACAAAGTGTCTGATTATATTACAGACAAAAATGCTTGGGTTTGAACTGTTCCAATCATTCCAACAGGTTTTCTATATTATATAAATCATAATTGTATTGTAGTGGTAACAACATAGTGATTTGTAAATGTTGTTACATTATACTTTTAATGTTGTGGAGTTTTTTTGGTTTGTTTTTCTCATCAGCTAAAAAATATGTCCAATAGCGAGTGATGGGGAAAAAATAATGTAGGATGATTCAAACGAGTTATACTATACATCCAATTTGAATTAAGATATATTGATTTCTGATTTACCTTCATACTTTTCTTGTTTAGCGATGCGAAGTAATTATTTAACTCGCACACCACACATGAACTTTATCGTTTAATTATACATAATGAATTCTCTGAATAGTAAAATATTTCTTTCCGAGAATGTTCTGCTTTTCTTTGAATAAGCTTTTGCAAAGTATTTTTCATTGGCGTCAATCGAAGCGAAGTTACATTTTGTTCGAAATTAAAAGGAAAATTCAGAAAGTTCCGTACTAAAAACTTTTTTCCTCTTCGCCCGTCTCGCAATTTGGCCGATGAGGTTGGCATCCTCCGAGTACTCATAGGAGACTTAGCCAAAGTATAAAATACGTGTAAAAAACTTGAGTTTGACTTGCGGTTTGAGATATTTTCAGCCTTATCTTATCTAGATATACATTTTATTTTGATTTATTTCTTGTTTTCGTCGTTGACCTTTCAGTATGATTTCTTATAAAGATCATTTCCAGCCCAGTGACTTTGTATGAAATAAAGGGGGCGGAATCTATGTCATTATAAACCGACCCCCACACCATTTATTATGAGCGAAGTTCTTAATCCACGCAGGCAAACGTTTCAGTGATCATGGCACGTGGCACACACGATCATTGAACCACATTTGTAAGGCGCGATATGAATCTCTTTAATCCCAGCGGTGATTCAGTGAAACGAAATATTACAAAGATCCCTCTGCCCGCTAAAAATGGAATTTTACTTCCATGTTATTATTTAGATGTAACTGGTCTTTTATCCTGATCATGGTACATTGTTATGTGATGTGAAATAAATTTAGATATTAAATTTTAATTATTTCAATAAACTTAGCTACCTGTTTTGTTTTATTGATGAAAAGGATTAGTTTGTATTAACTTTATGTAGAAATAAACTAAACAAATACATTTGGTGACTCTTTTCTTTGTCGCACTATCTGCAAATCTGCCCGCTCACGTGTTCCCTTTCTCCTAAAACCTGGGGTCGAAAAGGCGTGAAGAAGCAATGTGCAGGTTTAAACTAACGCAGCGCTGCATCATCACCCTCTCAGGAGATGATCGCTTCAGATGAAGCTTGTAAGGCCCTTCTGGCCATAAGCATGTACTACGGGTGTGTTTTAGTCAGTAGGAGTCTGACATAACCTTGCAGCCGGCTGTATCCATGAGGATTTCACAACCGCTCCCCAACCTGGGAGGAATAAAAAAAAAACAATGTGCAGGCCGGCAAGGTGAGGATGGCTGGTGTTCACTGCTGTACCAGCTACCTTGACGTCTGGACTCCATCGTTATATAACATCAGGTGAGGTGGAGTCCTTTGTCGAACCTATTTATATAATGTAAAAAAAGCTAGAAATTATCCTAGGTGTCGATTCTGCTACGTTAACGTAAAAATCGTATCGCAATAGTAGTTCTATAGTAGGTATAGATTTTTGACACGAGTTCTTATTACTAAAACATAAAATAACAATAGGGAAGATGCAATATTTTTATTTTTGTTTTCATTTTAAAGAATTCCATGTACAATAAACCACAGATATAATAAAAAATTAAAACATTGTGATTTATCGGAAAAAATGCGGTTTTAAATAGACAATTTAAATTTTCGCGCGAAAACGAACCTATGGTTGCAATGACGTCACTCCTGTCTGTCACTGGTCGTACTCGTTCGTCGCTGGCTTTAAATTTTCATACTTTTGCATATTTTTCGACTGTCGATATATTTTTTTGAAAAATTTAAAATGGACTGTCCATCAACATGTGATCATAACAATACCACTAATATTCCGAAAAAGAGCCGTGTTGACTCATGTTTTGTGCCAATCTACTTCAACAAGGTTTCCAAATAAATTGTTTTTGACTGGAACTTCTGACCCAAAACTGAAAAAAAAGTGGTTTCAAGCTGCGAAGAGAAATGACAAGTATTCTCCAAAGACCATTATTCGATGCTGTGAAGATCACTTTTACGTAAGCCGGCGAATATACTTGTTATATGCTTAATTAATCTGCTTGTACGTAAAAACGCATTAGTAACCTACCTAATACTTACAAAACCTGTCTATAACATATTTTTAATTTTACAGTTGGAGAATGACGTCGAAAATAAGATAAAGTTTAAAATGTGTGGCACAATCTTCACATTGGCAGGCTGAACCAAGCTTTGCGTTTCATTTAAAATAACTGTAACACGATAACCTTCTTTACGTACTTTATGCTCCAGAGAACTCGACCTTTTACTGTACATAATTCTCCATCTCTTTTTATTTGAACATAGCCGATTGCATTATCGCCGTAAGATTTGTAGAAGCCGCTGAATAAAATACGAAGTTTAACAACTACGATTTTTACATACCGTAGTAATTTAGTCCCTTTCATTTCTACACTTAAAAACTCTGCACTTTGGACAAAAAAAGTTATAACCATGTCAACACTAACTCTTGGTAAATTCCTGGAGTCTGCTTTGATAAACTTCCATTTTTATTAAATGTAAAAAATACGCAATTAATATCCCATAAAATAATATTTACTTTAACAACCATAACCTCAAAGAAGTTGTCATAACAGGAGTGACGTCACTAAACGCTGATTAGTGTTTTAAAATACGTTCTGTTTCAAGTATTTTTAATTCGTAATAATTGTTAAAAAACAACATTATGTAAAATAAAAACATTGCAGTGGCAATTCTTTTATATTTTTTTAACATTTTAATCGTAAAATTTTCATAAATATTATATATGCATCTTCCCTATTGGATATAGATAATAAGAACATGTAAGTTAGTAAAAATATCTGTTATTTTGTTTTTAAGTAATAATGTTACCGTGTCAAAAATCAAAACTACTGAAGTACCCAGTCATACACGATTATTTATTTAACTGAGAAGAATTGACACCCTATAGCAGGGGTGCTCAAACTTGAACTGCTGGCGATCTACCTCAACATTTTTAGACTACTTACGATCGACTCTGAGAGGCTGCAAGTCTGTGGGATGCAGGGTTGTCGTACATACAGGATACACCTCATCTATCTACCTATCTAGGTAGGGTGTACCGTAGCATATATAGATATTAGCTTTCCGCACAATATACATTATTTTAGTCAAGGCTTGGGTAAGTGTCGCCGCACACGGGCCACACGCCACAGCCACAAACGCCGCCACGAGAAGCTAGAAGCGGCTACTAAAGTGGCTGAAGCGCGCGAGAGCGGCCGACTAAGTTAAGGGAGAGAGGGGTGGGGAATCACGCGAGTGACGTGTGGCGGCGTTTTGTATCGGCGCATTAAGTGGCCGGTGCGGGCCACAAGAAGCGAGCAACGATGATTTATAGCGTGTGGCGGCCACCGGCGTAACGTGTGTGGCGAGTCCATATAAAATGTATAAAAACTACAAGAAATATGCAGGTGGCGGCGTTTTGTGGTTGTGATCGGTGGCCTGTGGCGACACTTAGGTTTGATTAGGTTCTTGTCTGCAATATAAAAAAAAACTCATAGTTTATTGGTTGTTACAAAACGAAAGAGTTACATATGGTGTTAAATTTAACTAAGGAGTGACTTTGGATGTTGAAGCGTGGCACTGCATGTCCTCAGCATACTTTTCATAAGATAACAAGTACATAACCATTGAGTTGCGATTAGCAAGCATGATGACATATGATCGTCAGTTAGTCGATTGTGATATTTTGATTTAATTATCTTTATTTCAGAAAATGCAGACTCGCACAAGTAAGTTGACCCAAACATTGACGTCAGTTGAAGGGCGATTTGCCTTAGATTCGGATATTTATCTTCAGATATAAAACACCAGAAATTTGTATCAGATGCTGTAGCTTTGAGATGTATATCTGATATAATCTGTAGCTAATTCCTCATGGTTTTTACATGAAAAAGGATAACTCATAAATGATGCTATATTTGCCAATTTACTGCAATCATAAAAACGCATTTCGAATTGTTCCAAAATATTTGATAATTTAGCCTCATACGTATCATGATTCAACTGAGGAATCATTGCTTTCAAAGACGGAAAATCTTTCAGATCCTTTCTTTTCAGTTGACCTACCATAAGTTGCAATTTACTTATGAATGCGTTTACTGCGCTAATCATCTCAATAATAGTTTTTCCTTTACCTTGAAGCTCCAAGTTAATGATGTTTAAGTGCATTATGATGTCAGTCAAAAATGCCAAATCAGTCAGCCATTTTACGTTTTCAACATCTGAGTGTTATCACCTCTTTCGTCTAGAAAAGCTGCTATTTCGGGCAATAATTCTTGAAAACTTTCTAGAAATTTTCCGCGACTCAACCACCTGATGTCCGTGAGAAGAACTAAATCAGTGTGTTCAGCTGACTTCCTATCTCCAAACTGCAACTTAAAGAGCCGCCGTTGCAAGCTACGTGCACGGATGGAATTCACAATTTTTGTTGCAATGCCCATAATTATCTCCGTGTTAAAACTTTTGAACACAAAACTTGTTGATGTATAATGCAATGGAGTGAAAAAAATGAAGGGAAATCTTCATTAGCTCGACACGGTCAGTTGCCAGAGTCCTAGTTACTTAGATCAGCCAACGAGCTGGTTTACGCCCACGTGGACTTCTACTATCGACTTTTCCAATGAGGCTATCACATTCGAGGTGTTCGGTGTCTCTATGAACTACTATTATAACCAACGTTATTAGATTAAAAAAAAATATGAAGATAGGTGGCGTGGTAACTTTACTAATCAGTGGCGCTTTAGAAGCGGTGCGTAAGTAATCACTGCGCTTGTAATGTACCGAGCTAGGTGAAGTGGTTCGACAGCCCATTAAGCTTACGTGCAGCACAAACTCGGTTGATAACAGAAACGATCGAAACATATATACATATTTCAAAGTGACTTATGTATACAACAAGATGCAATAAATGAATATGAATATGAGTGACGGTGTAAACATTGTTACAAAATTTGAGTACGAATAAAATTTAATATTTTAACCAAAGAAAATTTTTACTACCATAAAATCAACTCAGCCATAACAGTGATCCAGGCGAATACGTCCACACATGTATCAAACTTTATGATGTCGCTGGTTCTTTCGCAACCCAAGCAAATGCACGCAGTATCTTAGCCCTATGCTACCAAGACCCTTATGGACGTCTCCAATTTCTTAGGCTGCAAGGCAGCGGCATTTGTTCACATCCAGCTTTTTTTCATGACCCGACTGCGCAATGCAACAGCAGACACGCAGACAGGGTATAGTGTTTAACAGTCTATATATGTATGTATGTTCCTTTGTGTCACACTAGAGACGAAACGCGTGGACCGATTTTGATGATTTATATGTCAATCAATTCGTCTTAATCATGGGAGTGGTACTAAAGATATGATAGTTCTTTAAATTTAATATGGGGATAATTAGATGCCATATTGTGGGAAAGAAAAAAAATATATCGATCATCCCGATCGAAAATCATGTTTAACCTAAACATTATTTTCGATCATCCTACTCAACATATTTTTTTTACACCATTTTTCATTTATTATGACTGTTTAGGATCTACAATGATTTAAAGTTGGATATCAACCATTTGCGCTTTTAATTTCAATCTTGCATTTGTATGGATCTTTGATACTGTTTCACAAAAAAAAAATACTAAATGGATTTTAACGAAATTAACAATAATATATTTCATACATAATAATAACATATAGATAATAAATGGCTAAAATATAACAAAAAGTGTCACAAAAATCTCCCATCTGCGAGCCATTTTTGCCTGCATTACAAAAACAATCATAGTTATATGAATATAATATTTAGTGAAAATATTAAGAGATTTAAGTAGTTCTACAAAAATATTCGCGACAGCATATATCTATTTTTAAATGTGTGAGACATTATCGCTAAAATAGTGAATTAAAAAAAATATCCATTTCCAAAAGGCATATTTTGTATGACCAATTTATTTTTTATCAAAATAACTACTTTTATCGCTTTTGATATTTAAAGTCGATTAACTTTGCATTTTACACTATGTCATTTTGACAAATATATAAAAAGTTACAGCGATGACAAAGTGATAGCGCGGTATACTATGCAGGAGTGGACTGCGGGAATGGTGGGAGAAGAAATTTAATTTTGGTGTTTATAAACGTAGATAAACCTAGGAGAAAAAGAAAAAAAAGGGCTACTCCCAGTATTTAATCTTATACGAAGTACTCACATTAAAACTGTGATACAGTTCCTTATGATTAAATCATAAACAGTAAATTACCATAATAGGTATTTACGATTATTGAAATTTAATGAAAAAGAATCTCAGAATTTTAATGTTTTTAAAGTTTATTTTAACGTATACTTTTACTTCATGGTACAAAAAAGGGTTACCTAACATAATGAGAAATAACCTATTATTGGCTAGTAGGTACAACATACTTAATGGACTCCCTGAATTTATTAATCAGCTCGCGATAATGTTGGTTTTGAAACTTTAAACGATAATTCTGCAAATTCGAAGCAAATAATATTAAGTTTTATAGGTGAATCATCATTTCCATTACTATACCCTTATAAGTATTTCGATAATGTAGCTTAGAACCAAGGTCTCTTCTATTTCTACAGGGAAATTCATCATAATCGATTTAGCTATTAGAGCGCGGAAGCGTAACAAACAAACACACTTTTGCATCTATAATATTATATTATACTAGTGATCCACCCAGGCATTGCACGGGCGAAATTTATTTTAACGGGATAAAATATAGACTGTCACTCGGATGTAATGTTAGTTATAAAGTTTATTTTTCTAAAAAAATTTCTTCTCGGAGAAGTTGTCAGAGTGGAGTTTTTCAAGTAAAAGGTTTCTATAGATTTATAAATCGAGCAGATTAATCAACTATATTGAAATTAATGCTTGAAAATGTAATCTATATATATAAAAATTTGACGACCTCCGTGGCCGAGTGGTTTGTACGCCGGGTTTCATGGCGTCGCCGACTCGAGAGGTCCCGGGTTCGAATCCCGGTGGAGGCAGATGTTTGTGTGATGAACACGAGCATTTGTACTCCAGTCATGGATGTTTAATATGTATTTCTATATAAATATACTTATATATGTAAAGTATATGTATTCTATCCGTTTCCCTAGTATCCCATAACACAAGCCTTATAGTGCTTACTTTGGGGCTAGGCTAATTGGTGTGAGTGTTGGAAATATTTATTTATTATTTATTTATTATTTAAAAATGAAACCCGTTTTCCGTTGTCACGACATAACATGAAAACGGCTTGACCGATTTGGCTGATTTTTTTTTTAGAATATTCCTTGAAGTACGAGGATGGTTCTTACGAAGAGAAAAATTAAAAAAAATGCCTGTAAATGTCAAAAAACAAAACTTTTCTTTACTTCCATACAAACGATTCGTAATAATACTTAAAAGTCAATTTGAACTTTAATACCATACCATAAATTTCAAATGTTAGTGGAGAGATTCTGGGAAGGCAAAACAATTGAGCGACGTGATGTCAATAGAAGTTTGGAAAAGATAAATATACCATCTTCAGTTTTTTTATAATCTATATATATAAAACTGACTGACGTAGTAATCTATCAACGCCCAGCCCAAACCACTGGACGGATCGGGCTGAAATTTGGCATGCAGGTAGATGTTATGACGTAGGCATCCGCTAAGAAAGGATTTTGATCAATTCTACCCCCAAGGGGATAAAATAGGGAATGAAAGTTTGTATGAAACTTTGTCAATTTTAAAACCGAACGGGCTGAGACTTTGCATGCTGGTATAAGAATAATCATAGATGAATGTCATTGTGTATAAAACAAGCCTGAGAACAAAAACTGTAGTCTACGCTTCAGCTCTACACCGAAGCGAAGCGAGGGCGGGCCGCTAGTAACAAATAATATAGCTACCGTATGATGAATGAATTTTTGAAATAGGTTCAGTAGTTTGACAGATTATTTGTTACAAACATACAACTCTTGCCCCTTTATAATATTAGTGTAGATAGTTAGGATAATAATATTTAATTGATAAAAAGGATTTAAAAAAAAAAACTAAATGATAGGATTATTATAAATTTGTAAAAGTTACTTAGAATTTTTGGTAAACGGTGATTCGTTAATCATCATCATCGTCATCATCATCATCATCAGCCTATTAAAGTCCCCACTGCTGGGGCACAGGCCTTCCCTATGAATGGAATAGGGAGATTGGGCCATGGCCCACCACGCGGGCCCAGTGCGGATTGGTGGGTGTTAACGACTGCAGATGCAGCCGGGACCAACGGCTTAACGTGCCTTCCGAAGCACGGAGGAGTTCGAGATAGAAAAATTTTGGTCACCCATCCAATGACCGACCACTGCGAAAGTTGCTTAACTTCAACGATCGCAGCCGAACGCGCTAACCATTTGCGCCATCGAGCTCCTCCATTCGTTATTCGGTATATACTTATTCTTATTTTGTTTATAGGTAAAAAAATATATTTGGAAAATAATTGCTATGATTGTACCATTGTTCAATACCTACTAGGTAAGTAGCAGCCCGATTGATAGGTGGAAGTACTCTTTATTCGAGCTTTACACTTCCAATTAAAAAGGGTAGACCAGAAAGTCTGCGACTGTAACTGGTGAATGGTCTAAAAGAGAACGACAAAGATGTACGTTCGGTGATAAATTGATAATAAATAAGATAACTATGGTGCTGTACCTAACGCTATGAAAATTTTATTCTGGAAAGTGATGACAAAATCAAACACAATGCAAACCAAATTTAATATAAATCTATACCCAAACAAACTTAATATATACACGGTATGTGCATGAACTGACAATGTTGCTAATGAGCACAAATTATTCTAGTTTAATTCTCAAAGGCACTTTTATTCAATGATATTTTAAGGCCGATTGCATTAACAAACATACATATAAATATTGTAACATCTGTTAATTTACTGGTTGTATTTTGAGCTGGCGAATAAATTTTATTATTAAAGATACCGTTACAGTTATGGCAGATCTGACATTATCTGCGTTGGAAATCATTTTTAGGGTTGTGTACTGAACAGTTAAAAATAGGACACTATTACGTAGACTCCATTATCCATCTGTCTTTCTGCCACCAGGTTGTATCTCATGAACTAAATAAGTACTTAAGGAGTGACCACATA